CGGCACCTGTCTGATGGTATCAATCAACAGACCCGGAGGGATGGATGACTTGGTGAACCACGAGCGCTAGATCGAACCATAGACCACGTGTGCGACGTAGAGCACTTCTAACAACTGCGCAACAACCGTTTTAAAAAAGCAGAAAAACAATATATGCCACTAAAAGCAACCTAATGGGACGACCTCATAGTTAGAGCCAATTAATCAGAGGTATTCGTCAGCTTCAAATAACCAACTTTTTGCTGGTACCACTTTCCGAGTGAAGAAAGCTAACGACTGAAGAGTCTCGACTCTGTCAACAATCAACGACTCGAATATATGATGGTATGGAGAGTAGTATGTCCTTGAAGGATTTCATATTGGCAAGTCCAATATAGTGATCATACCTAAGAAAATCAAGGAGGTTTAACTACCCAAGTCTGGGGTTGAGAAGTATGAGACCACAGACATTCAGCTCAAGCTTCCGGCTAGTTTTCGTTCCCCGTTAAAGCCGGATATCTTCAGAAAAATAACCGATCCAGATAACACCATCATGTATAATTATATGACTACAATGACACAGACAGAGTAATGCCATGAGAGACGCTCATAAAGAGCTCAACAAACTTCTCAGTCAACGATAAAAAAGTATACTAGAGCACAACCGAGCACATAACGTGAACTGAAAGCTCTATAATAGATGATGTCGATTACTCATGCTCCGAAAGGTGTACTTTAGTTAATCCCTCCACACAAGGCTCTTACTTTTACAGAGAAGCAAGAAAAACCCGAAGATCCGTGAACCGAAAAAGAACTCGTCGCAAATATGATTTCCTATCCCAAAACCAGATTCAGAGCCCTCAAAGTTTTGTAGGGAAGCGGTATGCTGAGAATCAATACTGTCTAAAGCTGTGCTGAGTGGGCAGCCATAAGAGAGGATAAGTATGCTATCCCTAAACGACGCGCTTTAAAGCTTTCAGATTCTATCTCGACAGGAAAAAGTGCGTGTGATGCAGGATATGGGTGCTGTGCGATCCTCAGGTAGCTGATCAATCGGTGGTCAACAGTTCGATCCCGCGTTCAAGACTCACTAAGTCTTCCTCTTCCCGGGTCGGTGTTTTGATACCAAACTTGTCCGCGGGGACAGTAGCACTGGCTTAATACATCGCCAGGCTATCCCTAGTTGCTGTAAGAGACATATGCACCCGATCACTTCAAACGATGCTACGAATGGAGTCGAACACATGGTGCATTCCTCAGGGATTGATGAAGCCAAGGGCTGTACCCTTCATCTCGATGGAGCACAGCTATCCGTCGCGACAAGGGTACCCATGCTACTGTGAACGCCAAGCGCTAATTCTCGTCAACCCATTGGGTCTACTTTTCCTACGCTTCTCATTGAAATGCAACGCTCGTATTCCTTACATAACCAGCTTGAGCGAATTTCCCTCCAAAACGTAATATCAGTAACTATGGTTAAAGCTGGCCGTCGTTTTCGTGATTTGGAACTATTGATTGAAATTGATTGTTAAATTCTAAAGAATGCTCGCCCATCATGCGAACCAACAGCGCCCTTACTGTCGGTCCCGTGGTGTAGCGGTTAGCACTCAGGACTCTGAATCCTGCGACGGGAGTTCAAATCTCCCCGGGACCTTCACTTTTGCAAAAGGTTGTATATGACAGGGATGACAGATAGCTCACATATACGGGCTTATTTGCTCTGTTTCCTCTTAATTACCGGGATACTACCAGTTTTACTTCCGTCAACTTGGAGAGTAGCAACAGTTTCGTTAAGACGGAACCGAATACGGAACTCTCATGTAAGCAATCGCTGTTGCTCACATACGGAGATTCTTGAGTTGATCAGTATCTTTACAATGAGATCTTGAATCGTATGACGAAATAACAACTAAGATACTTGAGCAATTAGGAAAAGAAATGTCTAAAGAGATTCCTTGGTTTTTTGCTTCAACGATACACATAAAATTCTCCAAATCACAAACTTCAAATAAGACTTATTCTGTATCTGAACATGAGGGAATGGGCTATGTCACCTCTTCCGACTGGACAAAACTGTTTCCTAAACGATTTTGTTACTCGAGATAGGAGGGTCGAGGACAAGAACGAAATGACTAACACCCTCTAGAATCTATAATTAGTATAGAACTTCGGTAGACAAAAGATAGTTAGGAAATTTGCATAGTTAGGAAATATCCTTAAATTCCAACAACTGCTCTCACCTTATTCTCAAACAAGTTTAAAGTTTAAGTACGCAGAAATTTACGGCCACACATGAGTTCGTTCCGGACCGTGTGAACGCTACTGTGCGCATAAACAACTGAACAATACAATACACATAGACTGCTTTTTTCTAGCTTGTAACTTCTTTTTCTGCTTGTTTCTTTCAGAAAATTGATGAATAGAATGACTGTCTCAAAAAGCCACTGGGCTCCACTTTTTTGCGCAGTACTGTAGATATAGACTGATGTCGGTGTACATAGTTATCACACTCCGTTCACATACCCTCCTCTAGAACGGTCGCGAAGTGAGACGACTAACTTTCGGAGGCTCCACATATGCTTATCACACTCGGAAAACCGAGTCTGAACAACGGCGAAGCCTACAAAAGCAGGGAGGGTCTCGAATAAGCCGGAAAACACCGGACTATAGAGACTTTTGAGCTTCACAATCCTTACTCCACTACGAGAACTACGTAAACCTGAACGAAAATGGGCGCTAGTGAATACCCTCAGCTGTAGGCGCCTTACTATTTTATCCTGTCGCTGTCTCAATCATACACTCTATGTTGCTTGATTAGGTCTAAACCATGGTGTATCCCGTGAATGCTCACCAACGCACATTTTTATCTACAACGATGTCATAGGCGACTTTTCAAACGGCTTCTTTCTACCACATATAAGCAACTTTGAAGATTCTTCGCCAATGGTAATACAATATCTATGACTGATTCACGAATGAACCTTTTTCAAATCAGTAGCAACTTCGTCAACATCTTCAGGACGTCGATCTGTAGCAGCGACGCTGTACCCGGAGAACGCTAACCGGCGTACGATTGCTTTACCAATAGAACTTGTAACACCAGTTACTAGTGCTACAGGTGATGCCGACATTACCTTTACTTGCAATAAATTCATATTAGAAATGGATAAAATGACCACAAGAGAAAATGTCCTAGGAATATCCTCAGAACTGTAAAACATGAATAGTGTTAACCATTTTTATTATTAACACAAATTTAAGAGACTGAGAAAGTGCAACCAGTTAAGAATTCCAGTTATAGGGCTTCTTGAGGCCGCTGTTGAGATAACCACCATTATGATAGTGCTGTGGAGTCGCTTGCGCTTGTTTACCTCCTCCCATCTTATCATACGATTTGCGATCATCCTCTTGTGGATACATCTGACGTCCGGATCCAACGTTAGGCATCATAAATGAGTAAGGGTGTGGCGGAAATTGTTGCTGCAGAAACAGAGACGACAATCCTGGTTGTGGCATGAATGAAGGGTTCCCAAATCCAGGAGGAGGTGCTACGCTGGACGGTTGTTGACCACTGCCATCTCGAGAATTTCCCGACGCGAATTTGTTCATGTCGACAAGGTTATGAGTATCCGATCGATGCTGTGTAGATCCAGGATGTTGTTGATTAGCACCAGCTTGGGACATAGGAGTTGTTGGTGGCAAAATTGCTGATAAATCTACTCCCATTCCAAACGGCATACTGGCAGCATACAGAGCGGCATATTGGTCTTCGGCACGAACACCTGTCACTGGACTGTACATGTTCATGTTCATGTACGGATAAGATCCATAAGGCATCTGCGTTGGGAACATATGTTGTGGAGCTTGATGGGCAGCTGACTGCTGCGGAGGATGAGGGATTGGCGCCGGTTTGTTTCCACTGCTCATACCACGATCTGGTTGTGTCGGTGGAGCGTATGATACAGAAGATGGATCAGCGTATGATAAAGACCTGCTATTGTGAGGTTGTTGCTGTCCATATGAATGTGATATTGGCGGCGAAGCCTTCAGAGAAAAATCTCCATTTAATGGGCGTTTCGCTCTGAAAATTTGGTCTATCACTAAGCACATTACTTCAAAAAATTCACCATGGAAATCAGTTATAGAATAGCACCCACCTCACTAGGCTTCTGGGGAACAGTACTTGTGGTATTTGCAGAAGTTCGACCAGAAGCAAATAAAACTTCGGATGATGGGTTTGCCACCGACGACGCTGAAGTAGCAATTTCTGAGTTTTGTGGTCCATCAACGAACCCAAAGTGATAGTCGGAGAGTCCTGGTGGAATTGTTGCTGTCACAAATTCCACACCAGCTGTAAAATGACAATATTATGAAATCTTATTATGGAGAATTGAATACTTTCTACATATTTGTAGAAATCAACCTGGAGCAGAAGCCATTGACTGAACAGATGTAAACTGTTGTTGACGAGGTGGACTAGTTATGCCGATACCAAGATCGTTCTTCAATTGGCTTGTCCAATTTGCTTGAATAGCAGGGGAAAGTGATGGAGTTGCTGGGAGGACTTCTCCATCATCCGCGTCCGATGTTGATGCAATTCCCACAACACTATCATTATGATTGACAGGATGAGCAACAGATGGTTCACTGAAAAGAGAAACAAATACTACACAAAAGCAAAACTTCTTGTAAAAAAAAACAACAAATGCATCACTTCTTGGAACAGGAATGATGATGTAATATCTTTTGTTTACCACTCTAATTGATCATAATCACAGTTTTCTCCCCACGGTGCGGATTCTAGTACTCCTAACATTCAATCGGTCAATCAGTTTTTTCTTCTTTAAGGATTTAAAACACTGGCGAGAATGTCTTCTTGCGCTGTGCATCACAACCACTTGGCCACCACACTCCTAACTCCCCATGTTTTAGTATTAGAGAATTATATAGAAAAGTAAGACAAAGGACAGTAAAATGGGACATCGAAACGTTCTCATTGTAAAGAGTGATGTGTAAAATTGACGTCAGTAATGCAACGGATAGAGCACGAGCTCCCGGACAGAGCGAGGTGCGGGTTCTAGTCCCGCCTGACGCAAAAGTTTTGCATATCACTCTACATGAGTGGGTATAGTCTTCTTTACGCGCCAAGTTTAGGGGATTCTTCGCCATAGCTCTGCTCTCTTCCTGCGCGCACATTGATAGCTGCTCGAAACATGCTGCTCACAAGTATGCGTTTTATGTGCGAAGAATCAGAAGAGAGGTAATGAAACGCTATATTCTAACTACTTCACTTTCTTCAACACCACCTTATGTACCTTGGAGAGGTTTCGGATAAGAAGGCTCGACGTTTTCTTTCTTTCCTTCCTCCTTTCCTCATTGTTCCATTACAAGAGTTTTTACAGAGTTCAGAATCACAAAGACTTACAGAAAACACTGACTAAAGCTATAAACGTATACACAACTTTGATGTATCACTTTTTCAGTTGTGAAGCAGCTTACGGCGAGAGTTCCCGGATACCATCAAGCCTTTACTGGACGGAACCCATTTTCTTCGACTTATAGCTGATCGAGAGCTCCACCTCCTAACTCTCTCCGGCAGTCAACAACGAATGCCACAGCCAGTCTATCCTCCAGATGCAAGGAGACTCGCTCAACCAATATTCTATGACTTGAGAAGAACAATGCCAAACCTCAAACCGCAAGGAAGACTAAGGAAAAGTTTGATGGGAGGGGGTGGACGTCTTGTCGCACCCACCCTACAGTCGAGAAGCTGCGCCGTACGATTATGGTCTCATTCTCGCCGAAATGGAACCGATTTCCTGCGTGGACGCCGATATGAGGCATTTGATCAAGTTGAAGAGGTATGTTACGAGTTTCTTTGATTCAGAGCCCAAGGAATGGTTACTTCGAGCAGTTCCAGAAGCTTGCAGATCTTTGGCAGAAGATTGTGGATAACGATGGCCTTTATTTTGAAGAATAATAATTGTTGTTTTTAGCTAAAAGTTATGTACAAACTCTAGATTTTCAGTTGGTTTCGAGAAACTTTCTCCTCAACCTGATAAACTTTACTTTTTATGGGTTATAAACAGACGACAATGTTAAATGAGTCCATCTGGAATGTGAAACCGCAAAAATTGTTCGCAACCTTTATCTTTAAATGCCTTAAAATCCTTTTCAGGAACGTAGGAATACTCTAAGAGTGACGAAAGACGAATGAGCCCTCACAGCTAATAGCTTTTATCGCGCTAAGACGCCTTTCTCAAAAGCAAGATGGATTGGAAGAACAACACGTTCTTGCAAGAACTTCTAACAAGTATAGAGCAATTTAAAAAGACTAATAAATTTCTCAGCGAATCTCCACATTTCTAAAGAAAGGCTAAACAGAAGTTTTGATCTGCAGATTCCATGAACGGAACAGGCTTCGGATATAATAAACTAAATCAATGCCTAATAAACTCCTTCAAAATCGATAACTGAGGCTACAACTCTTTTTTTAAATCAAATTAGCTAGCACTGGAAGGCGGTAGTGCAGTGGTTAGTGATGTGATATAGGAAAGGTAGGCGCTGGTTAGCTCTCCTTTCCAATACACTTGCAATCAATCGACAAACACCTTAGCTTACTACCTTGAAGATTGTAAGGAAAATTATCTCGACCAGCATTTCACTATATTCATAAAGAAGAAAGTCGAAATAAGATGAACGCAGGAGAGATCGAATAGAAGTGCTGAAACCCGAACAGCAAATTGTACCAAAACTGTTAAATGCACAATTACTACCTAGAATTTCTAGTTGTCTTGATGAACAAAATCGAGATGAAGAGCATTTTATGGTATAATTACGCTACAACTGCCTAACAACCTATAGCACATGTCAAATAAATTAGTGTTAAAGACCTCAAATGAAAGTGAAACTTCTAATGCAGAGTTTACAGTAATGGCTATGGAAGAAAAAATCTTATATCAACACAAGAGTTCCATGCAAAAAAGTCCGATTTACCTATAAAGTATGAGTTCCACAGAAACACTGAATTGCATGTATTTATATGAAAAACGTTCGTTACATGTACATTGCTGGAAAATTGGGGAGAGATTGCAAAAAAAATTATCGCATCTAACAGATATGATCCGAAAGAAATGGGCACAACAAATGCCTTTAACCACTGCGCCAACATATACAAGTGGTAGAAAAAGTTGAAGACCTGCAATATCTCCGAAGATACAGTAGAAACACTCACTCGTCAGTGAGTGACCCTTCTAGAATCAACAATTGTGGATATAAAATATAGTACCAAATACCCAACTAATGAGATAGGTAGAGGCGAATATACGACAGCGAAATTACACGAACACAACAAATCCTATAACCTTAACGGTCTACTATCTTAAGTGGAGATTAGTGAGTTGTCCATAAGTGTCGTACAATTGTTTATGTTAATTGTTTATCTCAAAGACCTTTCAGTACCTATCATGCCAACAGCAATTCTACCATTCTTTTTATGTTCAATCGACAATTTATGCAATAGGGGTATTGTACAATGCTTAATCTATAAATCTATTTTCTACATCTCATAGATTGCAAACACCTTGCTTCGGATTTGTTTATTGTTCCGGCTGGAAGTCGTTGTAGATCAGAAGATTTCCAATTCATATGCACGATATAATTCGAGGCTAAGGGTGATTTTATAATCATAAAAAGATTGAAAATCAATGTAAAAACAGTAAAAAGACGCCAAGATGTCAGAATGTCAACAATACTGCAAACAACTCACAGAGATCTCGAACGATTTCTGAAGTTTAGTCGACAACGAAGCACAGATGGGCAAGTGGTCATGTAGTATGAACATCAGACGACAGATCGACGAAACGAACTGTAGAATGGACTACACAAGAATGAATTCGCCCCCGAGCACGACGACCACCTACATGTTGAGCGAACGTGTTTGTTAGAGGATAATCAGCTGGACTCGCAGGTGCCGATATTTTACAGATCACGGTATGAAACTCACGCCAGTCGCCATGCTCGATGCAACCCCCCACCACGGACGAGAAACGCGTGAAGAAGAAACGAGTGGAAAATTGCTGGCGTCCGCACAATTCGTGAAGACGGACCGCTCAAGTACTCAGCACGTAAAACGACAATCCGTAGAAACACACGTTAATCATTACCACATTTGTTTAGAACAAGGATCTTCAGAAATTTAGAAACAGAAACTGAAATTTTAAACTTTCCAACTTAAACGTAGTAGCTAAAAATGTCAGCAATATAATGCGAGACAGCACTGTTCTACAGTTCGAAATTCCGCTAAATAACCCTCTTTATAAAACATCAGACTTGATAAGAAATGTGGGGAAAGCAATTTTCCAAAGGTTTCCAAAAAAGCAACTTCTGCCACTTTGGGCTGATATCAGAAAGGCCAATATCAACTCGTTGGAAAATTTTTGTCTACTCTGAAAAACGAAATTCATCACGAGCCGAGGGAGATATGACTGTCGAAAGTGAAGTGGGTACAACTATTTCCGGGTGCTGATGCGTCTATATGACCTACATCGTCATCGATGTCTTAACAACTGCATTTGTAAAACGACTAAACATTATCGAATCTCATCCACACAATTTGTCGCTAACGTTGTGAAGGTCGTAATTTTTCACAAGTTTCTACAACTTGAAACGTACATATTAATTGAAATCTTGGAAATGTGCATCCAGTTCGATGCACGCTTATTACACGATTTCAGTAAAAACAGAACCATTAAAGTTCCCTAA